TTTGCCTTTCATGCCACAGCAATAGAGTGGGGAAAACAGTTTAGAATGAAGGGCTGTTTGAGTGGGGTGGGGGGTTTTTTGTAGTGTTTGCTAGAAGCGGTGCTCCTGAGAAGGTTGGTTAGCATTTATAGCCCTTCTTGGTGGTATTAATGAGAACATATACTGAAGAGTACATAGTAGAACATACACAGGTTTCTTTAAGAGTTGAGACAACAGACAGTATACTTACGTAACAGTTCTTGGTGCCATTAGGAGAGACTTTTCCCTAGGCAGTTGGAAAGAAAGCTTTCTCAAGATGGCTTAGCACTAACCCTTGCTCATTTGCTGGACAGCCTCCCACCCTTCCTTCAGTTGGTCTTGAAGTTAAGCTGATTGAAAGCACCTCCCTTATCTTAACACAGACATTTCAGTGTGCTAATGGAGATGGAGACCTTTGACTTAATAAAAATAAAACATTACCTCTTGCAGTGATTGCCAGCCAGCATATGTATCTCCATGGGGTCGGGATGATGAGACAGCAAAGAAGCTCTGGAGTGTGAGCTGCGAGCTCCTCGGCATCCAGTGGGACTGAGCAGCATGGATGTCAAGTGTGTACCTGGCTGAGCCCAGCCATACTTTTCCTGGGAAGAGCACTGCTGAGAGACCTCAAGACTGGAACTCCAATACTTTTGCTGCCCTAATGATGGCTGTATGGGCACAATCTAATGTGAATTTCTGGAATGTTACACTTTATGATTGAGATTTATAAGCAACCAGTCCCACTTCCTAGCTGGAGAATTAAAGCACCGACACAGGGAGCAGCCTTTGCTTGGTTAGGCAGAGGCTATTGTCCTCTGGCTTTAGAACAGAAATAGAGGTTGCAGTCTTAGGTTTAGATTACCAGGTAGTCTAAAGAATTACCTTTATTCCCCATCCCACCCCCCCAGTAATAGTAAATTTGTAAGACTCTCAACTTAGTACCTATAAGGTTATTTTCAGTTCCTACTATTTGACCTGTCAGAGTGAAAATACTTTAAGGCATTAGTTTTTGTGGCAATTCCATGCAATACAGATGATCTCAAGCACACAGAAATAGGTGCTGGCCTTTTTGTGCCAAGCATTAGGTAAAGTTTCTAAGTGGACTCAATTGTTTTTCTCAATATTCTCTGTAAGAGGCTGGGCCCTAGTCACTGAAGTATCTTGGCCCCAATTGCCCACTGATGGCAGTAAGTTAACAGAGGGTTGGCATATCTTTTGAGAACCCAGGTCTCAGCGCAGGTGACTGGGAGGTTAAAAGCTGCACAAGTGCTGCAATTGTGCATAGGCAAATTATCTTACTGAAAAAGATTAACATCTCTCCTGTGAAGCATATGAGAAAAGATGGTGTAAAAGTTGTCACAATAAACTCCCCAGCTGCACTTTAAATGACGTTAGAACTTCAAAAAAGAGAGTAGAATGAGTAACGTCTGAACTGTGTTAAAAAACATTGAAACAACTTCAGCTGAGACTTTAGCTTTACATGTCAGCAAACTACCTAGGGCTGAATAGTTGAAGCAGAGATCAAGACTATCTATCTTGATATAGGTCAAATTAGCTACAGGACAGGAAAGGAAGACTTGCACAGAAATCCTTACATGTGTCTGCCCAGCAGTTACTGGCCATGGCAGTTACAGGCCCTGCAGTACTATGCAGTAGGCACTTCCAAAAGGCACCTGTCAATCCATGCAGTTAACGGGACTGCTCCCTTGAAACTCTAGTATACCTTGGGTGCTAGAGAGTGATCCATCATCACGTTGATTCTGAAAGAGTTAAGCAGTTAGTTAGTTAGAAGACAAGTGCCACAGCTTGTAGGATTATCTTCTGCTTCTGGAAAAAAAAACACCTTGGAAGTTTTTGGACTTGCACATGAGCATGTCACTGTGACCAACTGCCAGTTCTGGGGAACAAATGCTAATTTTATGATTAATTCTTTCTGCCTGGATACCATCTATGCAGAACAATCCTGTGCTACCTCTGAGCAATACTAAATAAAGCCATTTTCCTTTTACAGCAGAAGACTGTATCTTCCTTCAGAAACATTGAATCAGTTTATGTGGCGTTGCTGTTACCTGCACCTGCCTTACTAATGTAGAGAACTCTGTTTAGGCAACACTTCAAAGTCCCTTTGTGCTTCTCCCTGTCACTCTACTTTTTTCCTCCCTCTTTAGGCTTTATCTCCACTATAAAGCTAAATCCACAACTATAGTGTAGCAATAGAATGCTACTTAGCATCACAGGCTTGGTGTGTTACCTCTGTGTGAGTCTCTGATCTTCAAAGTGGCTTTCAGGAGCAGTAGAAACCGTTTAAAAGGCCAGAAGGGCTCTAGGCTGAAATATTTTGCCCTTGCAGGTCAATTCTCAAAGAAGTCTGACTATAGATTTTACATAAGGTATATAACTACGCATTCCCAGAGATGCACCCCCACTCTTTTTGACCTTGGGCAAGTCATTTACACCTTCTTCTAAGCTGATCTGTAAAATGTGGGAACTAAAGCTCATTTAGCTGTCTCAAAGGGAGGCTTGCAGGGGAGAGTTAGATTAACTTTCAAAGCTCTCTAAAGAGGATTACTGGTTTGTGAGAGTACACATATGGGGCCGTGCTAGCTACTGGGAAGGCTTCTAAAGATGCGGTATTCCAACTGATCTAAATGTTGAGGACACAGAGGCAGAGATTTTGCATGATTTGAACAATTTTTCCCTTTCAAATTACACTGCTAAGCACAGCCAAAACAAAACACAGATCTAGAGAGAGCCCCAGGTTGCAGAGATTAAAAAGTAAACAGAAGATATGTGAACAGTCATAATACTTTATTCTCTTTTTTTTCATTGTAAACAAACCTTGGTCATTAATAGAGAAGTTCTTATTAACTGGCAGTACTCAATCCCTTTTTGATGCTCAAAAATTCAAAGCCCCTTGTTAATTGCACTAATTGTGACACAAGGCAGTTTGTCAGGATCAAAATTTTAGTGATTTTAGGATCAAAATTCCAGTTCTGCTGGTAAGAAAAGGATCTCTAGATTCCAAGTTAGGAAAATCAAATTACAACAAACACTATATAAAGTGCATCACGTACAGTGCAAAGAGGTCAGGAGGAAAGGCAGGTACGGAACTGACTGGTCTGCATGGCAAACCCCACTCTGTGCTCTACACAGCCGGAGGAATGCTAGCAGAATGCTAGGCACTGCAGCAGTGTTGATCTGGATACTACAAACAGTAAAACCTCCTCTGCATAATTAGAGACTTGGAAATGATTGAAGACATGAATAGTGCCAGGTTTTAGGAATAGCCTAATACTGTAATCTGATGGAAAGCTAGGTCAGCCTGGTCAAGAAACAAAAGCTTTCATTAGTACTGCTCACTAATGAGATAATGCAAATCTGCGGTCAGGAGATTCTGAACGCTAAATGTGGTCATTTTCAACTGCTTCGCACCGAGACATTTCTAGCCCTGCTCTAGTGAGCAAAGCACCTGTCTGCATCAGTGGGGCACTGCTCATGAAACACTAAAGGAGATGGATCAAGTCCTTCCTGAACCCACAGAAGTCCATTCTGTCGCTACAGTGAGCTTGGGGATAGTGCAAAACTCTTACTTGACAGTTGTGTACTAAAACTACTTACAGTTATATCACACTTCAGAAAACCTGTTGTTTCTTCTTTTGTTAAAAAGTTTAGTTTACTTCCAAAATGAACTAGTTTTCCTACTTCTTGTGCTGAAGTACATGTAAACAGCAAGCACAAACTCTTGTTGAGTACCATGTTTTGTTCTGTTTCTTTCTGAAGGTCCTACTACTGTCTACCATTCTGATGTCCCAGTCACAGTTGCAGAGAAGCAGCTGCTTTTTTCAGCATCCCTGAACACAGCCATTACACAAAGATTCCTGCTTTTTCATAAAGCTGAGTTAACCTAACACTTCCAGAGCAAAGCCTGTCAGTATAGTCTATACAGTATGTCAAGTTAATAAACATTCAGTCTGGTGTTCAGCTGTACCTGACAGCAACAGATTATTCTGGCACGAAACAAATAAATCCCTGTGTGACAGGGGTACAGACGGCCTGTTGAATTCTGCCACAGCTTCCTGTATCTGTATTTTCTGCTATACCTGATGAAAAACTGTGGAAGTTTGCTGGCAAGTGTTCAGTGGTAAAGCTGCATTGCAACAGTTTATTGGATATTACCATAGCAAAGAAAGGGGTACATGATTTTCCAACTATTTTGAAGTATTATCTTCCCTTTGTACTCCCCTTACAGGATATGCCCTTTATAACTTCATTCATCTAGTAAGGGCTCAAGTACCATATGTATGGCACACATGAGACAGTGTGACTGGTAAGTAGAAACCTGCCACAGAGAATCAGTTCCTACCTTTTCGAGAGAACTAAAGAAACCGGGCACGTTTCTTCTTTTTCCTCTCCCCTCCTAGTGAGGGGGGAGAGGTAAAAAAAAAAGGAATAATATCTCAATTTCAGTCTTTGTAAAAGGGGATGTCTCCAAAAAGCTACAGGAAACCCATAATCACAAAAAGTTTTATACTCCAGGCTACACTGAGTTGATGAGATTTTACTGTTCTCTCTATTTAGGCTTTTTGGATTAAAAATATGTAATAAAGGTCAGTACCTTTAAAAACAAAACAAAACAAACAAAAAAAAAAGGCCCAAACCCCAACAACACTCCCACCCCCCACCCCCAAAAGAGAAGTACTCACTTCTATACACCTAAATTCTTGCTTGTTCAGTTTGAAACTGCCCCCTTTCCCCAAAAAAGATAGTCAAAAAACACCCTGAGGTAGTGACTGTTTGTCAAAATACAGGACTGGCACTTGTAATTTAGTTCCCTTCCTTTCACCAGAGGCACATTAGCAGCATCCATTTGCCACCAACATCAGTCAAGAGATTACCATTTTACCAAGAGATTGCTGAGCCACATGCCTTTACGCCGTCTTGACGCCTTGCCCCTCTCTGTGATGGTGAACGTCAATTACTTATTATTTCCTAGTGCCCTGGGGAAGCCGATTTCTGGTTTTGGGCTGGTGTGCCAGGAGCCACTGGGTACAGATGGCCTTCACAACGTCATCTCTGCTGCTCTCAGCCAGCTGTCGCACATGTTGCACTAACTGCACTGCTCTGGTCTTTTCCTGCCTCACCGAGACGAGGTAGGCAGAACGCAACTTGTTGCACATCACATAGGCCTGGATCTGAAGCAGAAGAGGCAATCAGAACTTGGTCAGAAAGCTGTAGTAAACTAATAGCACAAGGTTAAGCAAGGATTCACTGGAAATACCTAGTTCAGAAGCATGTTGTACAAGGTAGTAGCAGCTTATTATGAAGTGGAGTATGGCATGGAGCAGATCCCAATGTAAAAGATGGATAGACAGTTGTATTTTATTGTTGTGGAAACCCCTTTTACTGTATCACCGTGTAATTAGCATCAGGGATCCTATTTTGTGCATGAATTACGATACCCTCATAGTGAGCTTGTCAGCTGGAGCAGGCCAGAGGACAGCCACAAATCTCAACATTTTATTCCCAGCTAGGCCACACCGGATCTACAAGCAGCCACAAACACTGAGCCACAGCTTCTTCATCTATAAACATGCACCTACAGTTCACAGATTTATCTGTGACTCTCCAGGGGCTTGGCTGGCTGGTATGAAAGCTAACAAAGAAACAAAGTAGTTTAACCCTTGCTTCCTCTAAGAAAAAAAGTATATCAGAATTTGAGAAGTTTTATTACTTAACTCTTGATCACAGTAGAAATAGTATTATCCTGAAACAGTAAGCTGAAATGGTCATCCTGGAGGTATGCTGATCCTCATTAGCTGTCTGCCATTACTAGAAACTTACATGCATCTGTATGAGACATTGGATAACAAAACCACAAACTTTCATCTCTCAGCTCTACAATCACAAACACCATAGCCCTGAGAAATTCACTGCGATTTCTACAATCTAGGAAGTGGCCTTCAAATCTTTGGCTTGGATGAGGATGAGAGAGAAGATGGTAAAAGAGAACACACAGGCTGCAGACCAAGACTGAGCTGTTTAGCTCTTGCTAAAGGAGTTCCTCTATTGTACTTTTACTTACCTTGTTTTCATCACTGTCCATATCCTGAATCAGATTATCAAGATCCTGTATCCAAAGAAGGGAAAAAAGTATTCACATTTAGAGTGACTATAATTTGCAAATCTTCACCCCATCAGGCACCAAACCCTTGCACAAAGGAAGGGCAGCTGAGATCACAGCTAGACGGTTACATTGTCCCAGCTGCAAGGGGTCCCAGCTGCAAGGGCTGCAGGTGTCAAAAATACAAAGTCTAATTCCTCCTTTTACCATAAACATGGCGTAACTTGCATAAGGCAAACCACACACTCCCACCTTTAAACAATGCACACAGTACAGAGCCAGGAGATAAGAAGATCTCACCAAAAGAGCAGCACAGGCACCACTGGATGGTTTCCCTGTAGCCTATATTATATTGTAGCCTATATTGTACCCATTCTGCTTCAAAATGGACATAATGCAGGATAGAATTACCTCAGCCGGAATGCTCTTGCATTCATTTAGACAGTTTAGGATAATGTTGTCCCCATCGTTTTTTGCTGCAACTCCAGATTCATTGACACACTTGAGGAGCTGCCGGATCTCACTGTACTTCTGCTGCTTCACCAGCTGCTTGGCCACTTTGCTGTACACTTCTGTAGCCTCCAACTGGAAGTCCTAGGGGTAGGTGGAACATCAAAGAAACACTTTAAATGTTTTCAGCAGGTTTTCACACAGAGAGTCTACACAGCTGAGACAATCTCTCTTAATGACAATATCACATCATGCTACAAAGTATCACAGCTGGTTTGGGGGCCTCTGATTTGCCAGTCACCAATGCTCAAAGCTACCTCAAAGGTTTTCTATAATCAGACTGGCAACACTCAGTTTTGCTCAAGAACACGAGCACTGTTACCACCTCCTTCTCACAGGTGGCAAAATAATGATTTTTTAGTTCTGGCAAAAGATCTTTCCTAGGTCCCTCCCCACCTCTCCCTCACTTAGCAAGCTCCCACTGTATTCCTCCAGCCACTCCACCAGCAGCCACCCTGCACGCGTCCTGAGAAACAGGCGGTAACTGACCATTGTACACCTCCCATATGAAGGAAGAGATGATAAAGCTGTAGACTGATCCTGCCATGAATAAGGCAAGAAAATAAAGATAAAGAAAAAAGAAAAAAGCAGAAGCTGCTCCAGTTTTAACAGGGGGTAGTGGCTACTGTTGCTGTTAAGAAGTGCTATTTTACTAAGGCTCTCCATCTCACTACAAACAGGCATTCTGCCTTGTACATCCTGACCTGAAAGAGGGAGCAGGGCCTGCCATATCCACAAATACTCTTTCAGTGTGCCACCTCTGTCCAGAACTGGTCCTGCTATACCCTCTGTTCCAGCTAACTGCACTGCTTGAAGTAGTATCTTTTAGCAGCTCCTAACACGGATAAGAAACACACAGAAAAGCTTGGAGCATCATGAGCTATGCTGACTAACAGGCACCTCAACTTCTACCCAGATAAGAGGAAGTAGAGGACACCCCTGAGAGAGTTTCCAGTTAATTAGTTTTGCTCTCAGCCAGGAGAATAGCACAGAGACAGCCCTGGACTTATTTTATTCACTGTGTCTTTGCATGGCTACCATGAACTGCAGAGAGCTACCAAGTCAGAGCTCTCTTGTTCACAGCAGTGATTGTGGTTTGCCAGAGTCAAGTCACTGAACAAGGTACACAGCCAAGAAGAAGCTATATTAAGTTCCACTGTAGGACCCAATTGGTTCGCAAGTGGCCCACCGAAGCAGCATTTTCATTTCCTTACCAAGCTAAGACCTGAAGTAGTGACTTTTCTCACAAGAAGCTTTTCTTCTGGGGGATTAAACAGACACTTCGCAAAAAAATCTGTTGCTTAAGCAATTGCTGCTTGCAGGAGTTACATTTATAATAATAGTGCTTGTTATATCAAGTTTTTTCATACCTGAAGGACTCTAAATGCAATCCCAAAACCTTCCTCAATGTTTTTGCCTTCCAACATGACCTGAAAAGAGAGGCAGAGACAATTTTGGGAATGCACACTCCTTTTTCATTACATACAGCATAATAATAAAGCATTGCCAGATTCTGCCCAAGACAGAGGCCAAAAGACAATGCAGTACTTCAGGGAATAGCACAACCCCAACAAGTAGAGCAAATACAGGGTGTACTGTCACACAGTGATTTCCTGTGTTACGGATGGAGCTGAGATGAAGTTAAGAAGGGTTAGAATAAACAGCAGTATTTGCCTTGCTTCAAAACACAGTAGGTTGCATAGTCAAAAGGCGTGTTACTATTTGTATTTGGGATCATCTGCCTCTGAAAATTGGAACCTTGAGGAGAGAAGCTCCAAGTTCTCATGTGTTCTCTGCTACTTTGAGGAAAACCATGAATTTTTCATACATGGTAGGTTGCATACACACACAAGTAACCTACTCATGAAAAAACCAAAGGCTGATCCAACCATCAACTATTTCAGTGTGTGTATCAGGTTAACACTGTTGATGAAAAATAGAGCTATGTTTGAAATAGCAGTAAGTACATACCTTGCAAGCAACATCCATTTTCATGTTATTGTTTCCAAAGAGTGTGGGCAAGGAGGAACCTGTCATTTGAGAGGTTCCTGAGCTCTCACATCGATGCAGGAACTTTGTTACTTCCATCTGCAGATCAACTGTATTGATGTGCCTAGACAGAGGAAAAATTCAGACTTTATTTTGAAATAAAAGTTCACACAAATAATAATTGACACCTTCTCTTTCTTGAACACATTTCAAAATAAGACGTATTTCCAAGGAATTATTATTTTAGTTACTTTTTGACTTTGTCTTTTGTGTAGCCAAATCTGCAGCAATGAGATATTTTCAGATCTGTGCACTTATCATGCACCACAACCTGAAGGTGAGCACTTGTTCATATTATTTCAAAGTGAGACAGAGAATTTGGATTCCAAGTGAGTATCTGCTTCCTCTTTTCTACCCCCACCTTTAAGTTAGTGTCTAGCCCAAAAAAAAGGAAAGAAACAAGCCCCTAAGAAAAACAGGGTATAAAACCCCAAGTACAAGAGACATCTGGCTAAATTTACACTTCAAGTTTTGAATACAGGGATTCAGTTATGTCTGGCACCTATAACTTGTACATAGTTGACTGTTTTGAGTTAACCCTGGTAAGCACCTAAGCACCGAGAGACTGCTTGCTTTGCAGAGAGCTTTTTTTCTTTTAATTAGAGGAAGGTAGATGACACATGGTCTGATATTTTTAGTAGAAACAATTGCTCATCTCCTGAGTTGGGTTACTGGGGGAAAAGGTAACAGGAATCCTGTAATTGCAACTACATAAAAGTCAGATTTGGGTCAGGCATAGCTAGGATGTGCTGGCTAAATCCAAGTTAAACATAAGCACTAAAACAAAAAACAAGCAAAACCAACCAAACAAAAAACAACTCCACCCCCCCAAATAAAAAACCCCACCACCTAAAAACCCCCATAAAAGCCTGAATTTCCCTTTTCCTATGACTCAACTTCCTGTTTTTTGATACCTTGACACATCTGTAGCAGACATTTTCTTCCGAAAAGTGAATGCCATTTTTTTCCTTCCTGAATTTCTTGAGACCTCCTGCAGATAGACTTTGAGATGGTCCTTGATCTTTAGAAGCCATGTCTGTTTGCCTCCCAGTTCAGTGTAAGACTTTGCTCCATGAGTGAAAAATCTAATGCAGGTCATGGCAGCACGAACGTGATCCTAGAAGAAACATACTGAACACTAAGGTGGACCAAAGTGGACTTTCACTAATTACTGTCTGTAATGAAGTGCTCACACAAAGCAGGCAATGTCTGTTTTCATTAAAACAGTAGTTAAGCTACTGCAATGTGCCAGATCCATGACAAATGCATAGCAGATCAGCTTCAGTCAGGCTCAGGCCTTCCTACCTGTTTCTTAGGATTGGAAAGAAGCAAAAAATATACTTGCCCATCATGCAGATTTACACCAAATAACAAAGTCTGACAGTATTCAACATTTCACTGGAAGAGCTGGCACTGACCCTCATCTTACCTTCATGAACTGTTGCAGCTCATACAGAATATGGTAATAGTTCTTCCTCTGCAAGTATTTGCAGGCTGCAATCAAGTAGACTCCCCAGCTCTCCAGTCCTGGATCAATGGTTTCCAGCAAGTTCTCCAGCATATGCAGTTTTCCACTTTCATAACTTGGAATGAAGATCCCTTCAATGAACACTTCTGATGGGGATTCCTACACATCAGAAAGGTAGCTTGAAGCAAAGCCACTGTGGCTTGTTGATTTTCCTTATATAATATAAAGCAGTGATAAGTGACAGAGTTCATAAAATTCCTAAATAATTTAGTTTGGCAGGGATCTCTAGAGGTCATTTGGTTCAAACCCCCACTCAAAGAATGGCTTCCAAGTTAGGCCATGCTGCTCTGGGCTTGTCCAGTCAACTTCTGTGCATGATAATATGGCAATTTAACAACCCCTCTGGCTGTCACCCTTTTACTGTGCACATATGAGATAAGCTTGAATCTATCTTCTGTATAATCACCCACTTGGAAGCTGAAAACAGCGCAAAGGTCTTCTTTAGCCTTTCCTTCTTCAAGCTGGAAAAAACTAGCTCTGCCACTCTCCTCAAATGTCATGTGACTCAGGCCCCTAGCCACTTTGGTGGCCTTGCCTTCACTCTGACAATGTCTGGTTTGTACTAGGGAACCCAAAAGTGGGCACAGCAGTTCAGATGAAACCTCACAAGTAATGAGCTGACAGAGATATTTACTATGGTCTCACAAATTGCAGGCTTACATATTGAGGTTACTATGGATAGAAGCCTGTGTCACAACATGTCTTTAAAATGTTTATGCAGGCCATGATAGGATTTTTTTTGTTTGTTTTTTAAATCTAAGCATAAGATACAAGCTACAAAGCCTGTATGCATAAAATGTTTCCAGACATCCAACTGCAAAATGTTTCAACAGAAGCCTAGTACCTTATCGCTTTAAGGTAACAAATCTTCCTCTCTAGTTTGCATGATCACTACCGGTCTCCTTGTCCAAAAGAAGCACCCTTAATTAATGAGAACCTTGGAATAATTTCTAGGTTTAATTGTAATGTAACTGTTTTCTCCAGAGATTCTTAAGCCCTTCTATATTATGCAGTTTTCCTAAGGGAGAATTGAAAACCAGCTTTTGGCTTCCTTAGATTCCTGTCCTCTGGGACATGATTCCCTTATATTCCTGATGGTTATAGAAGTGCAAATGTGGGTGTCTGATTCAACAAACAATGCCAAGAGGCAGAGCCACTGTAAGAGAGTGAAGTGTCTAGTGTTACCAGCATGTTGGAATTCAAAATTTTCCTCCTCTTTTCTAAACTGTATGACAGTAATCCCAGGTTTTCAGCTTTGTAGAAAAAATACCAAGAGCTGCTGATGCAGGACCTCTAGAAGCCACTGTTTTGACACAATAGGGAAGAGGGATTAAACATAAAATGTTAAGATTAAAGTTATTTTTTCATGTCACTGAATTTTGTCAGTCCCTGGATAGTGCATATAACAACATTTAGGACCTCCGAAAACTCCTGTGCAGAAAACCACCCAGAACGCTGCATGATGCTCATCACTGTCTTAGACTGGCCTTCAAGCCCTCTTAGCTACTTTTTAAATTTCAATTTAGATGACGGCAAATTAGATTACCCACCTTATTTAACAAGTGAAGCAGTGCTTCTCTCATACAGTCATGCCTCATGTAGAAGCTTATTATCGCCAGATTAGTGCCATAACTGTGTAAATAGAACAAGCACTCTTGATAGTAGCTGTTGTGCTGAATCTTCCCCTCACACATCATCTCCAGAGACAGACTTCTCGTTCTCAGTGTTGCTTCAAGTTCCCTCAACGTGGCAAAGTAATCATCATCCTGCCATTAAAGCAGAGAATCAATGATAGCTGATGAGCAAACTTTCTTTTCAGTTAGATCTTGTCACTTGGCCTTGAAGCATTGTTATTGTTGTTTTTAAAATAGGTATTGCTTTAGAAGGATGAAAATCCAGTAAATGCTTTTTATAAACACTAGATTGGAACCCTGCTACCAATAGAAGTGCTGCATGTTGCTATAGCTAGCACAATTAGCTAGCCTCCTGTTGGAGGCCTATTTAAACACGATTCCACTGTCAACAGCTACTTCAATAAATAGTTCAAACAGGCTTTTATTCTCCTAAAATATGTACTACTAAGAGGTCTTTCATGATTATGGTTCTGCAGTTACTAAGTACTAAAAGTAATTTCTTGGTACCTAATTAGAACTACCAGAGCTAATTCCAAAACACCTAAATAAAGTGTTTAAGAAGAGTGGGAAAGCAATTGTAATTCCTCCCCTGAATTCCTGCAAAGCTGTCAGAGTTTCAGTACAAAAATGCCATCACCGCAGTGTCACAACATATCACTGGAATTGAGTTTAGTTTCCTCAAGACCATAATTGAATTGTATTACTTCCTTAGTAATAACATATTAACCAGTACAGCTTCTTTCCCCTCTACCAAGCATGATCTGGTTCTCAGCCACCAATTCACTATGATGAAACAGCTAAAAAAACTACCAAAAATACCCAGTTTGCGGTATGCAATCATGATGAAAGAAGGATGCAAACATAACACACCTGATATGCACTGCTATCAGATGTGTATTAAACATCATCACTTGACTTTGCTATAGCTCTTCAGAGCAGACAGAACAGAAAGACTCTTACCGCAATGAGTATGGGCTTCACTGTGGACTCCAGGTACTGTATCACATCCTGGACCAGCCTTGAACCATGGTTCAGCTGGTTTAGATCCATAGGTGGTTTTAAACACCGGTTAAACTTCTCTCTGGCTGAACTTAAATTTCCAGCTTTAAGGCAAGCCATGCCCCAAGCATGCCATGCTCCACCTGGATCCAACCCAGATTTTGTAGAAACCTAAATTAAAAATTGTTTGTTAATATTGCAAAACAGTCCCAGTACAGAAAACAGGAAAACTGGCTTATCACACTGTCTGTGACTGTGAGCACATGTCCCATTAAAACCCAAACAAAACACGAAAAAATCCGTGCTGATTATTTCCCTATTACTGGCACAAAATGCTAACTACCAAAACACCCATGATCTCCAAATGTAGAGGTATTTTTTTATTGCACAAGTTGAAGCAGTGATTTATATAGGAAATTTCAGTTCAGCATTTTTAAAACTTGGGACATTTTCACATCTGCTTTTCTAAAGCAGGTTTTTACAGAACAGAATTCATCAGCTTAAGGGGGAAAAGAAAAAAAAAGCAATAGAAGACGCTTCACAAACTGTCAGCAAATTTTTTTACTTCAGATAATTCTGCTGATCAAATTTATTCCTGATTTTCTTTAGTGGACCAGATGCCTTTAAGTATGAACTGTTTGTATTCAAATAGGTCATCTATTCCTACTGTTTATTACCCCTTAAAAATCTTAATCCAGTTTGCAGTATCGTAATCCTGTGTTTAACAAACTGCAAAGCCATAAAACAGAGGCTTACAAAACCCTGGGAGCAGGAGGAAAACAGAATATTAAAGGACACAAGATGAACTCCAATAGACAGATTTGCTACCATTGCTGATTTCAAAGTAAACGCTTGGGCAAGGTGCCTTACTAATGTCTGCTGTGGGATTACAGACAAATGAAATCAAACGTACAAGCTTCAGATAAAGTCCTGCCACAAAGGATGTCTCACCCATTCTACTGGATACAAGATTCCTCCATTTAATGACTTTCTTACAGTTACTCCACTCCAATTTTAATTGTCCTGGGAAACAAGGCCCCTACCCTTTCTTTCAGCAGCCTACTGCACAGCAGTAGGACTCTTCCTTCTCAGAAATTTTTTTCCAGTGTTCATAAAATCATTTTTCCTTGTTTAAAAACTGAATCCCATTTTGCAACTGTTTAAATATTGTCCATTTCACACATCACATCTATCTGAACTCAAGAGGGAGAAAACCAAAAGCCACTACAGAAGCATTATTAACACTGACATCCCTCCACTGTCATTACCTCTATAGCTAGTTGATAGTACTCTGCTTCCAGAAGCTGATTTCTTAACCTTGTTACTGCTGCAGGGAGAAGAATCTGATCCAAAGATGGTATTGGATGGTAGGCAGCAGCAACCAAAATATTCAACACATCCACTTTGCTGATGTAGCTAGGAGAAAACAAAGAGATTAAACAAATACATACACTTTCACTATTATCGTACACTTAAAGAACTTCATGTCAAAGACAACTCTTAAAGCAGTGGTTCCTAGTCACCAATATACCAGGTTTCTCTATCCATCACACTATCCTATTCAGACTGCTTTTTACCTTCTTTTTTTTGTTGTTGCCACATTCAGTAGAACACTGGCAGAGGCTGATCGTAAGCACCAATTGTGTTGCCAAATCAAAACAGTACATGTGAAATGTATATATTACACCCACCACCTCAAGATCTGTAGGACACAACCTGAGGTAAGTGTAAAATGCTCATTCTCAGGAAGCACAGGTTTAAAATCCTATATTCAAATACAGATTGAAAGCAGATATAAAATATCAGAAGTAAAATATTTACTTCTTTGTGATTATTACAATCTTTGTGAATTATTTCTACATACTCTGATAATTTTCTAAGTAAATATTGTATAATCATATTACTTGAATTTCTACCATTTTAACTCTTAAATTATGAACTTCTCTTGTTTAAAATGTCCACAGTACAACCACAAAACAAGCCTCCCATGCTCCAACTCCCCAGTAAAAAAGGATAATAGTCTCAACAATACCTCAATACGCTCTAGTGAACATCTGATAAATCACCTGTCACAGAGAGCTAGGTCCTGGCTCCTTCCAGCTTTTACAAACATCATTTTGGCACTGAAAAGCAATTGCTTCATGATGTCCATAAGCAGACCAGCATCCACCTCCGGATTAGTGAGCCCTTGGGACAACTTGCAGCAGTAGTCTATCAGCTGGTGTCCACAGACTATGCTGTCACTGTGCAGGCTAAGGATGGCAATACACAAGGAAGAGCTGGGAGCCTGGCAATTCAAGGAAAGACAGACAAATATGGGTATTGAGGTAGTTCACAAGGAAATTGCTTATATTCAACTTTCTCCAGACCTCACCTGTTCATAATAAAATTCACTGCGTACAATTTCATTCTCCTCTTCATTCAGGGAAAAAATCCATTCAAGCTCAGTTGCTTTGGGTATTCGCACCACTGTGAAATAATCATTATTAGAAGTTTCTACAGCTAAAAAAACCCTCCCACCAGGAAGAATCATCGTACAACAAACCTGGCTAAAGACACAGAGTATTCCTATGCTCTTGCAAGACAATCATGTGTAATCCTCTCACTGAGCCACTTTCTGCCAGTATGACATGTTTAGCATACAGATTACAGAAATATTTCCATTCCTCAGCAGGCTGCCAAATTGTACTTAAACTCACTCTCACTGTTACCAACACCGTACCACAAAAAACCTGGCTCCAGTAACATATCTTCAAATGATTACCCAACTCTTATCCTGCAGGACATCAAGCACAGCAACCTTCCCCCTTTAGCCTTCTCTCAGGCAAGTTATTCAATATTTCTGAGGAGGAGAGAAGTAGAAATTTGAGAGCTGTGGGTTACAGCTAAAAAGGGAAACTGAAGAACCAGCTGTAAAAGAAAGGGTAAATTGACTTCACTGCCTGTATCTTCTTTTCAGAATTTAGGTTATTTCAACATATAGTCCAGCAGCTTTAAGACGAAAGACTGCGAGAAGATGAGTTAACTCATTATGGTTTTTTCCACATGAAATAGTATTGCAGACAGCTGGAGTTTTGACCAAACGATTCAAGAAATTTCGTTTCTGTGAAAAGTCTTTTTCTTTCCTCCAAATTAAGGTAATTTCTGTTTTGAAATTAGTAACCCAGAATAGCTACAAATCAAATACTGTCTGTCATTTGAGTGCAGCTGAGAATGCACAAGCTCTCTGATGCTCGAGTTTGTGATTGTGGTTCCTGGCAGAAAAACAACAGCCAATATCACAGTGCTAAGAAATTGAGAATAATGCTAGTCTGCTACTCTTTCCTTCTCCTCCTTCTCCTTGGAAAAACTTAAAAAGTCTCAAAATTCACTGTTCTAGATTTCACAGAAGGACTCTCAGAGTCTTGAATAACTCTAAAACTGTAGGGCAAATAAAAATTAAGATGCTGGTTTTAAATGTAACTGGAAACTGGAATAACTAGAATAAAGCAGGCTTGGAAGCATTCAATAAGCCTTCTTCAGTGTCATCAGAAAAATTAGAAAAGCAGAACAAAACACTTTCCCTCTTCGATCTGAGGATTTTGATACTGTTCTTATTCACTCCTACTGAACGAATCATATGGGCCCAGTGATGCACAGCAATGCTGCAGGCAGAAAGATCTAACCAGAAGCAGCAGCTCAGAAGCTGCATTTCAGCTGTTTCAGTCTTGTAACAAAGGTAGCAGTAAAGCAAACTTCTGTCAACAGCAGAAAAAAGTCCCAACTCCAACAGCCCATCATACTTAAAAGGAACAAGTAAGGAAAAATACTTATTCGTTTTGTATCACAAATGAATATTTTGCACCCTGTTTCACATTACTGCTATAAGCACTTCCAGTAACTATATTTTGGTCTGCCAGAATTTCATGTCAGTGTAGGAAAATTTTGCAGAATCATCTCAAACACCAGACTAAAAACAAACAGTAAATACTTCTGAGGAAAAATGGCAAAGAAAAAGTCAACTAAATTTTATTATTATTCCTGAAGATATTAGATGTGGAAATTGAGGCACTGAAGTGAAATTATTAGTCCATATTCACAACAACTAACAAAGGAGATGGAACTCAGGATACCACCAGACCCATGAGAGAGGCCTCATCCTATGCTCCCCCCAGCCAGCATGGGGTATCAAACGCTACAGCACACTGCAGTGGTATTGAGTTGCACTACTGTGGTTTGTAAAAAAATGATCACTCAAGCACAGCTCTGTAGTGGGCTAATTAATTCCTACTCACACCACAACCTCTCACTGGCTGTTTGTAGTATGCAAAGTGCATTTTCCAACTGTTGTTGTTTTTCAGTTCCTTCCTTTAATCCCCATTCAGCACATTGAATATTGGCTCAGACATCTCTCCTAAATCTGTTTCCATTCACAGAAGTTTGAAATGCTCAGTTTCAGCCTGCTCAAAGAACATCACTGATATTTTGTAACTGAGGCTTTTATCACCCTTCAGCTGCAACTAGATGCATCAGCTTCTTACCCCTATGTTTCACCCCTGGCGGTGTTCAAGGCCAGGTTAGACAGAGCCTTACGCAACATGGTCTAGTGTGAGGCGTCCCTGCTCAAGGCGGGGGGTTTGGAACTAAATGATCTTAAGGTCCTTTCCAATGCAAACCGTCCTATGATTCTGTGAGTCTATGATCTCTATCTCCAGCTTCCCATCTCTAACCCTGCTGCTCATCAGGCACTTAAGAAAAAAAAAAAAAAAAAAAAAAATTTAACATTACTCCATTCCTCACCTTCCACTTGGTCCTGATCCTCTTCTCTGCTGTAATGAAATGACAGAAAAAAAACATCATGCTTACTCCAGCACACTGAGGAAAACAGTTTTAAAAGAGACATGAATATGACTAGCCTTCTCAGAACATTGTCTTGTAAAAATCTAACCTCTCTCTCCCTGCCCTCTCTAACTCATTGCCCTGCCCCTAACCCCTACTATCTGGAAACATAATATCCTGCCTCTGCATTGTTGTATTTCAACTACACTAAGTAATTAGTTCTTAAAACCTTCTTTAGGAATAGTACTGTGGCACACATCATAAAAAAGCAGACACCAAGAACAAGAGCTTCCCCGTACCAGAATATTTCAGAACTAAATTTAAGGCTTTGGCATCCAGATCTCTGTCTTTCAGATTTAATTAGTTTTGATATACAAACCCAGACACTTAAACAATTAAAACATGACAAGTGGCATTCAAACTTACTGGTAGCTGACCTAATTTGGCAGAATAACCAACCATTCTGATGCAAACTGGTTTAACTAGAGGTGACTGCTTGATTTTTCAGAGGTTCCTTTTCAGATCTGCACAGTATTGCTCTTTTCACAGCAAGCCTGCCAGTACTGCCATAGTGGAATACTGCTATCTGCAGGCTTGCTAGAAAAAGAGGAAATGCAGCTGAAAGTGCAGCTGAGAAAGAGTTTTACACTCTGTGACCCAGATAGCAGTATCAGCAGGCTTGACAGGGTCACCACGAGTAAAATTCACTCTTTTCAGCTGCACTTTTCACCAGCTGGCTTAACATACACACAACGAATTTCAGCTTAAAGCAACCACATAATGAAAATCTGTCATCACACCTGTCCCTTTTATTAAGGCAGTTTCAAAGCCTGTGTAATACTGAACTTGTATTTGAATCCCCAAGGGTTCAAGAAGTCATAATCAAGGGATTATAGAATAACTGATTATTAAACACAGATATGTTCAACACAGCTTGTCATCATGTGATGTTAACCCAGGAACCAAGTAAACTGCAAGAAGTTTCATCACACTGTAGTAGTTTGTGCTGAGTACGTTTTGCATCAAAGCATTCAATTCTCAATGATCAATTGATGCTTAAAGAATTAAAGATGTTGTTGCCTGGCTCTCCAGTGTTCTTTCTTATGTGAAAAGCAAGATACAGCATAATGAAAACCCCCACACCTAACAAACCTGAAAACCCCAGCAGCTGGAGGACAAAAAGTTATTAAAGTAACTTATTAAAGTGATGTTATTATATTTTCCAGATAAACCCAAATGCTTATTTCTCTCTCATTCCATTCATATACTCTGCTGTGTACATGAAATTGAGGAGAACTAGAATGGAAGGACTTACATGGTTGTGTCTTTTACCAAGCCAGGCAGATGTTCTCTGTTGTAGTAGCTGTAGCACTGATCGCATACACGAGACAGATTTTCTCTGCAAGCTTCTACTGTCATTTTCTTGGTGGAGCAAGAGCTGCACACCAGCCTGCCACAGCGCCTGCAGTGATGGCGCCTGTTAAACTAGGCAAAAGGGGTCACACATGAGCAACAGAAGGAATTTACCGAAGTCCTCTCCTATGTCTGCCTCCACTTGTGAGTAAACCTACTTCATTGGAAGAGAAGAAATACTAAGCATGATAAGGCTTTTCAGAACTATACAATGATTGATTGTACACTGGTACATTTCCTTTCTGGAGAGGGCACAGCAAAGGGAAAAAAAAAAACCAAACAAAAACCAAACCCGAACCCAAAAGCCAGAGGCAGGTATTTACAACACATTTGCTGCTGTCTTGGGCTTTCCACTTTTAAATTATTCCAATTTTGATCACTGTGCTAGTTAGATCATCTCTTGGAAAAGTTAAAAGCTGTAGACTGTCTTTCTGACACCATCTTAGTAATTTTGAAATGCAAAATCAACACCTACTTTGAAAAAAACAGTACTCTTTCTAAGCAACAGAAGAGAACAGACTGCCAGCACAGCTGCAAAACTCAAAATTAATCTTCTCCATTAGAGCACCAATGCAGTTGCTCAAGTAATCTACGCATGAACAGGTCTTAGCAAAGTGTAACGAACAACAAAGTATACATTTTCATCTGAATGTGATGCTCATGTTATTTCTTGCCAGCACTGTCAACTAGACAGCTTTCTGAAAGATTAATAATGCTATTATTACACATTTTTTAGATCTTATAGTTTTCTCCTCTCTGATGATCAGATTTCCTTTTGTGGCTCTATCACTTCACAGGCTCTGAGGAGCTAACTGTTGACACTCTCCTCAACTACCCTAAACAGAAACAGTTAAATATCAAAGGACTGGCAATCTTGTCAGGCCTACACTGATGCAGACAAACTTTCTGAAGTAGCTAGTGTGTCTTAGGAAGCAGGCTATGAACAAGTTTTTGTATTAAGGTCACATATCTGTTAGGAATGTTTGTGCTTAATTTTTGCTCCTTACCATAGTGAAACGTTCAGTTTTGCAAACCATACATATCATTTCGGTGTCATCAGGTATCCACTGCTGCTTTGGTGGCGGCTTCTCAGGAGGCACAAATTCTTGAGGGCACAAATTCTGCTGCAGAATTCTGTCTCTGGGACTTGCAGATATGGTGACACCTTAAAGAGACCCAGGCCAAGAAAAACACTGAATGAGATTTAAGCTCTTTAATGCAGTGTTGAAGAGCAGAAAACACTACATATTTACTGAGGCTGTAAGACCTTTCTGGCTCACAAGATGACTACCACTACTTTCAACCAGGCATGGCAAAATAACATCATTTAAAGAATATATATATACTTTAAGCCAAAACCATAAGATTGTAAACTTACAGTACTTCAATATTGATAAGCAAAAGTACATACATACTAATAGACCTTTACCGTAATCATAAGAGAAGCATAAACCAACTTGTCAACATATGCCCTTTTATCATAAGCAGGCACGTAGATGAAGAAGAAATAAATACCCTAGTATATGGATACCAAAGCGTGATCTAGCATAAAACATAATCTTAAAGATACCCAGTGTTGACATTCATGAAGACTGGGACTTTTTTAGTCGCAGGAGAGGTGTGCTATGGCTAGCAACAGCACATCCCTCCCTGTTCTGGTCCCCTTTACAATCTAATGTGCAGAAATCAGTTCACAGAGGTAGAAGTTTAAATCTTCGTCTTTTGGGATCTCCTGACCTTGCCAGTGAAATACTCATTGAATTGAGTTTACAGTATTAGATGGGCTTTTAGTTTATATGCTCTGAGCCAGTTACACTACAGGCTAATTATGAAGTTCAACATGTCATTGCAGCCCTGCAAGCCACCTTCTGTGTACATGAACACTAAACTAAAAAAGAAAAAACATCTCCATTCCATAAAGCTAACTCGTGCTCATTCAAGTAAATAGTAGATGGCAAAGGAACATTAGAGGACAATGAATTCAAGTTTTGTAACAACAGACAAACATTAAGCGGACCATTATGAGAAAAAACTGATGAGCTACGCAGCCCAAACCTAAGACATTGCTGTTGCTTTGCGTAGACAGAGCAAGAGTCTTCAGTTCAGGATATAGAACCAGAGAATGGCTCAGACACCCTAACCTGTAGATCAGGATATCGTTGTGCAGCTCTAATTCAGCCCACCAGCTGCTGAGAATCAATAGCCTTGGTGGTATAAAGATATCCTTTGCTGGTCATTCCCTGAGAACACAGGCTGTTCATCTCTCACAATATATATCCTCCAAAGACTGCATTTCTTGTATTAGATGCTGAACGGAACCTATAGAAAAATTTGTGGTTGGTTTTAAGCTATAAGCATTCTTCAGTTGTTTTGGCTTTAAATTATTTTGTTTCTTTTTATCTGTGTTTGAGGACTGTGAGTGGAGCCTCTCAGGCAATACAAGGTCACATTCCCTCAGGTCACAAGAGGGATCCTAGAAAAAAATAAAATTCAAGGACCAAAAGAATTATGAAAAAAATACAACACAAATGAGATTTCTATTGTAAAGCCAAAGTTAAGAGCCAGAAATAAAAAAGTTACTGAGCAAAGAATAGGAAAACAGGGAGAAGTATCACAATGATGGGTTTCCAGGCAAATTCTGCCTATATACCCAGACTGAGAAATTAAGACAGAGAAAGATTAATCTGCAGCACCAGTAATCCACTGCAGATGTAGTCTGGTTTCCTATGGTCTGTTCAGGCTTGGTTTTTTCTGTGCTGCCTGGAAAGCTTTTGCACTGATTTTTCAGACATATTGTAGATACCTACCAAAACTCAAACAGAGCCATAAACTTCTTGTTCCCTCTTAAGTTTTCTTTTAACTGGACCCAAAGCACCCAACTGTAGAGATCTAATAACCTGCATTAAGTGTGACCCAAGTTACTATTAGGCAGAGGGACCCACATACACAGTAGATAAAACAAATACGAGCAGAATCAAAGAAAATGGCACTAAGGTCTTAACCTTACCAGTAAAGCTGACAGGGGATAGTTCTGATGATCCCGATTTAGATGTTGTTTCAGACTCCAATATCTGATTGAGACTTTCCTGGATACGTATCAGAGAATCTAGAAAAAAGGGAAGGGGGAAAGAAAAAACTAATTGGAGAGCAATACTGGCCATACATCTACCTGTTTTTACAAAGATAAGAGGAATCCATCCACAGGAGTACGTAAGAACTACAAAACAAATCAGGACCAGCAATGTAATTACAAATTACTTTGTGTTCATGAAAATTAGCCCACAACAATTAATGCAAAACTATATATTCAATGACCTAAGACACAGAGAAAAGGATTCTTATCAAAGCACTGGCCTACCGATAGGCACAGGGATAATAAAGCAGAAAATAAGTATCAGATGTGAAAAGAATTTGTTGATGAAAGATGCTCATGGCAAATATTAAATGCTTCACATCAAAGTGGAAGGAACATTCTTGCAAAATTACATGTCATTTGGCATGAAAAGATAGGTAAGTGCTGCTTTTTGTTAGCAAGAGCTGCATCTTTAAACCATTAAATGAAGTCAATATTTGGAACTGGCATAAAGCAAGTTGATACCATATAGGTAGGTAGAAATAGACAGATAGGTACACACATCATGCACTTTTAATACAGTGAAACAAAAGCACCAGACTTGATCTGCAGCACCCTCTGCTGTTCTAGTTCTAAAACCCTGAGAGTGTCAAATACAGGAAAATTGGACAACAAATGGCAGAGAAAGGATTGGCAAACCAGAAAGGAGACCCATGCTGAGAATGTTAAGAAGAACTACAGGTTTAAACATCTTTTATATGATAAAAGGAACAAGACTCCAGTAGGAGGGCAGGTTTTAGAACTCCTTAAGTCATTGGTGACTTTGTGTTAGACAGGAATGAAATAAAATTGAAGTTTAGAAGAAAAGAGACCCCATAAAGGAGCAGAGGAAAGTATGAGAAACTTTTGAAGCTGTTGGTCCTTGAGAATATCTATTTACAAGACAGGCAAAGACTTTAAAAACATGTTCTGGGCTGGAGGGAGACTGGAGGCACACATCTGAAAATGTTTTGCCACAGTTGGTGAAATTATTCTGGGTGGAAATCAGCCCTTCATTCCCAAGTGAAAAACAGCATTCTCATGGGCAGTCACCTGATCTCTTTTAATGCAAAAGGGAAGTTGAGAGCTTTTTCTGCATACTTGGAGAGCAAATTGTCAATGTCTTCTACAGTAAAACCAATTTCCTGTCCAGCTAAGAGCTGGTGCAGTGTCTGCACAGCAACAGCTACCCAGTCCACCTTCATATTCATGAGGAGCTGTTCCAGCATGAGCAGCGGCCTGGAGGAGAGGTGGAAGTAGTTAACACGGGAAAGCTCAGGCAGAGTCAGCAGCACCTGAGACACAAGGAAAAAAGCCTATTAATTATACACCTTTAAATCTGTGTTTCTGTAAAATTAAAGACAAGAAATTAGCAAAGTAGCTTATGAAAAGAATGGAATAACATAGAAAGGCCAAAAAAATGGAGGTGGGACTTCTCAGACCTATTCCTACTTCTGTTACAGAATTATTGAGTGGATTTGCAGAAATTACACAGCTTCCACTTTCCCATTCTATAAAACACTATCTCATTTCAAAGTTGAAGAGAGGAAAGCATTCTGTGACCCTGTGACAAATAGAAAGGTAGAGCACATTCTCTTAATAAAATAAGATATAAAAAGAGTATTAGCCCAATCATTCTTTCACCACTTGAAGAAATATTAGGAGAATTGCTCTTATTTTCTCTTCTCAAAGATAGACAGTTAACATGGACACTTCCCAAATTAAATCATGTCTTCAGAAGTGACAAGTAAGGAAACAGGAAGCCTGACAAAATACTGTTATGGCACACACTGGAGCAAGCTGCTATTTGTATTCCTACAACAAAACAGACATTACCAAAAGAACTGCATTTTGTTTACATATAATGCATTTGACTACGATAATCTACTTGTTAATGAATGCATCTATTCCCAGGCTGAGCACAGAACCTGTACTACTTCTGTAAAGACAATGACCATTCAAAAAGAGGAGTGATACTGTCTACCTTTGGAAGGCACTTGGGCAAAAACATGCCTTGTAAGTGTCAAAGACCACCATACAGGTGGGCATACGTAGGACACCTGGTGTTAGGGACCAAGAGAGTGTGTTGAGGATGCTTTCTTTTTCACTTGGGACAAGGACAGCAACTGTCCTGATAAACACCACAATTTTATTTTATTCCACCCCCACTCTCTTTTGGCCTATGCATTCCTCCACTCCCTACAGCTCAAACGCAAGACTGCTCTGTTCACACTGGGAGCTACAACCACCTTACAATACAGGAACTGCAAAGATAGAGAAGGGGGAGAGAAGTTTTAAGCCATCTCTAGCTTTCGTTTGGATCTTGAGACTGAGGATCTTAGACCTGATATGATTAGAATGCTCTCGTAAAATGTAGAGACTTTATATATTATGTATTACAAAATTACTTACATAATTGTATTTTGCCATAAATCCCACAACGCAGGAATTTTACTCACCTTTGATCCCATATAGAGCGCCTGGATTTCATTACGGCGTGCTGCTGTCAGATTTGCATAGAAGTGAGCTGTGAGGTAATCAGCCAAGAAGTGAGAGGCTGCCAAGTTCTCATGCTGGTCAAGGGACTGTTCACTGATGGCAAGGCAAATGCCAGGGTCTTCAATTCTTTGTAAAAGCTATAAAAACAAACAAAATACAGTGAATCCCTGCTACATTCCTGGGAGTAGCCTTTATAATGGGCAGTCCACAACAGATTATTGCATCAAGCAAATTAAGTTGCACAAGTGTCTAACATATATGAGGATGATTTAGATAATCCATTTATAGACTATTCATTGCCTATTTGCTCCATTTATTAATAAAAATATTTTAAAAATTAAATAAAGCAAAAAATTAAAGAAGGAATGGGTCAGAAGGTGTAGTGGTCAGAAGTCTTCCCTCTGCTTCCAGAGTATTTTCAAAGCTATGTACTCTGAAAGAGCCTGCACTTTGTTTTATGCTCTCTGTTATTAGCAACAGCTCTGTAATTACTAAAACCAGAAGAACTCACACTTCACTAATTTGGGCACCAAAGCACAACTGACCAATTCCTCTTATTAGTTTCACTACTGGTTCTTCTGTTTAAGCAGCACAGAAATACTTCATTACCATTTTTCAAATACAAGGGGCCTTTTCTTTTCCTGTAAGCAACATTTCCAACAACTAGATTGCCAAGTTGGATTTTCACTTAAGTGGAACAGTGGAAAGCCAGGATTCTGAAAGCATATCTAAGCAAACAGCATCTCTTAAAGAAGGAACCAAAAAGATCATGAAAATACACATGAAGAAAGCAAAGAAAACGTTTTCAACATTTTTGACCTATGGATGTAAATCTGAAAGAGTCTCACTATTACCTGCAATGCTTTTTCCATGTCTCCCATCTCCAGTAAGTGAAGAAGATGCTCACGGTGAAGGCTGATCAAGTCTTCTCTTGGGACAGGATACAAGTGTGCCCATTCCTCACACAACTCATAATCCTAAAGAATTAAAAAAAAAAACCCAAAAAAAACAGTAGAAGGGAAAGGGCAAACTCTACCCTCTCTGACACAGCTGCTTCTACCAAAGTTTTGATTAACTTCAAGAAATTCTGTAGTTTAGACTCCTTTCCCACATGCAAAAAGTAAATAATTACACTGACAAGGGGACAATGATGATGATAGTCAAGTTTGTCAGAGTCACTGCCTGCACTGAGAATACCTTTTCATCTCACAGTAAAGCAAGCCAGATCCACAGTATCAGTACTTATATAATAATCAACCCTGTATTATATCAAAAGCCATGATATCAAAATCTTCAATATTCTAAGAGAAAAGAACAAATTGTATCTCAGAGTAAGAGTTATAACTTAAACTTCCAGATTATTAACTACATGTAAATCTTGACATTATAGAATCATAGAATAGTTACGGTTGGAAAGGACCTTAAAATCATCTAGTTCCAACCCCCCTGCCACAGGCAGGGACACCACACACTAAACTATGTTGCCCAAGGCTCTGTCCAACCTCACCTTGAACACTGCCAGAGATGGAGCATTCACAACTTCCTTGGGCAACCCATTCCAGTGCCTCACCACCCTCACTGTGAAGAACTTCTTCCTTATATCCAACCTAAAGTTCCCCTGTTTAAGTTTAAAGCCATTACCCCTTGTCCTACCACTAGAGTCCCTAATGAAGAGTCCCTCCCCAGCATCCTTGTAGGCCCCCTTGAGATATTGGAAGGCTGCTATTAAACACAGATCTGTGTGTGTTTCTGAAGTACAGAACTGAGCAAAGCAATCCTTCCTCCCAAAGTAATCTCTACTGATCAGTGTTTTAAGATGCTATTTTCAACAAGTTTCTCTATTCAAAGTGTAATGTATTCCAATTCAGCATAATTCACAACAGATGCCTAACCTTTGCCTTTAGAATGATATTCATGACGGCCTGGCGGTCATCAGTGCAGGCTTTTTTCAGCTCTTGCCAGTCATTCCACAATGGTTCATTTTGCACATTCAGAATCTGAAAGGAAGTTAGTATTAAGATAGCACAAGTTATAAAAGCTTTACCTACAACAATAAAGTCTAAGGGAACAGCTGAGTTGATCACATCTAGACCTGCTTCATACAAAGAAAAAAGTTAAAAAAGGAGACCCACATTTATGTCTAGCCCTTTTCTAGGATGTTGTAATGCACTTGCACTACAAAAATGACCACAGAACTTTCTCAGAGGTATGAAACTACAAAGCACACTTATAAGGGAAGGTTTTTGAAAGACTAGATGCCCTGGACTCAAACCATGACACTAGATGGCAATAAATATGGATAAAAAAGTACACGTGTACTGCAGACATTGCTGACACTAACAGACACAACTGAGCTGTCAGTTAGCAGAACCACTACCAGACA